ATGGTGTGGGCATTCCCGAAGCATTTCTTTATACCTCTCCCAAGCATCATATAAAGTTTCATCATCTTTCTGGATGAAAGTGATGATCTGTTTCCTTAACTGGTTTGTCTTGCTGCGTGGGTAGTACTTGTTAAGGAAAGCGTGAGACATTTGCTCCCATGTTGAAATTGACCCTTCAGGAAGTGAATACAACCAAGCTCTAGTTTTATCCCTTAAAGAGAACGGGAAAAGCCTTAATCGGATTGCATCACTTGAAACTCCATTTACTTTAAGTGTATCGCAGTACTCAAGGAAAATTTGCAGATGCAAATTTGGGTCTTCAGAAGACAGTCCAACAAACTGGTTTTGTTGAACCATCGAGAGCAAGGATGGCTTCAACTCAAAGTTGTTCGCTTCAATGGTAGGTCGTGTGATGCTAGGCTTCCTACCCATTGAATTTGGTGTTGCAAAATCACGTAGTGCTCTGTTTTCTGGACTAGCCATATGGTTGTGGTTTGTCGAAACAGAGGCTTGTTGTTTGCTTTGCTCTAGTTGTCTACGGAGAGTTTTGATCTTACGGAGAGTCCGTTCAATTTCAGGGTCAAAGATGTCCTCAAATCTAACACTCCTTCGCATAAACGAAACCTGCAAAATCAACAGAAACACAAGAACCAAAGTGTAATTCTGCAGAAAAATATTAAAACTAAACCAGAAAAATAATGCAGAAAATTTAAAAGGTCTAATCTAACTAAATCACCGCTTAGCTAATATTGGGAAAAGCACAATCCCCGGCAACGGCGCCAAAAACTTGATAGTCGTTCCGCAAGCGTACGGAGTATCGCGTAATAAAAATGTATCGTTCCCACAGAGATTATGCCCAAGTACCAGTACACACTGATTCAATTATCTAAACAAATCGTTTCAAATAGAATATATTGCAAAATGAATAGAAAACCAAAAACTATTGACAAGAGACTCAAGGTGAAAACTTTCTTAGGAGTCGGTAGGTTTATATGTTACGTATTCAATTTAAATCAATTCGTTTCCCATTATTTAACTTCTATTTCTAAGGTGAATTTTCCTTAATTGATTAATGTATTCCTCTCGAAACCCCACTAACGTACCTAATTACCGAAGAACAACGTTCAATTTTTTAAGTAGATCATTTACGCTTTATGAAAATCCAATACCCCTCAAAGAGTTTTGTTTACTTTCGTAACCCAAATCCCTAGGTTCAATTCCATGCTTTTCTAATGATATATCGATCTCTCAATCATCCACATCATTTAAATTCATCTAACCTTATCTCTAAGCCAATAGAAGCTTTAGGTTCTCATGGAAATGAATAGAAAACATAAATTCAATAACAGAGAAATTCAAAGTATTCAAAATTGATACATAAACATATTCCCCCTAATCCCAAGAATGAGATTTAGTGTGCCATAGAAATGATGATTACAATCCACAATACAATAAATCAAACCCTAACATAAGAGAAAAGTATAAATGAGACAGGAAATTAGAGAATAGAAGAGAAGTTCTCACTATCTCCTCCGTAGCTTCTTCAATTTCCCTCTTGATAGAAGAAATCGTTCTCCCTCTTTTGCTCTGGTTTTCTTCAAATTTCTTTTTGGGAAAGACGCCTCTCGTCTTCGTCACTCTTTCATTTTTGGGTCTGTAACTTCTTTTTTTTTTCTTTTATGCTCAAAAATCGCTCCTTTAATTCGGGGAAAATGTAAAACGTGCAGAATCCACTGACAGTGGGAAAAACCCATGGCCAGTGGATCGTGACAGGGGCCCAATACTCATTTTCCAATGAAGTCCACGGCCAGTGGGAAAAACCCATGGCCAGTGGATCGTGACAGGGGCCCAATACTCATTTTCCAGTGAAGTCCACGGCCAGTGAGAAAAACCCATGGCCAGTGGATTTGTTTTACGCCATAGTGCCATTTTCCAGTGAAGTCCACTGCCAGTGGGAAAAACCCACTACCAGTGGATTTCACTTAACTTCACCCAAAATGCTCTTTAACAATGCTTTAAGGCCCTAAAGTGTTCTTTTCTCTTTTCTTTTACAATGCAATCCAATGTTTTATTTTTGTGCTTTTAGTGGCTTGAATTCCTTTCCATCCAATGCTTCATCAAATGCTTCCCGTTTCCAAGTTTATAAACCTATAACAAAGTTATTCCTGCAAAACCGAGACACCCGAATAACATGTGTGGAATGAAGGAAAACAATTGGAATTAAAGGGAGTTCTAACACAAATAAACTAGAAAACTCAAATAAAGCGCCATTAAAAATGATGCAAACTAGACACTTATCACCCACCAACCTCACCGCCTCCGAAATGTGGCACGAACTCACAGGGGCAACCATGCTGCCTACACTGATGAGGGGTTTCGCGCTTCCCCCAGCACTCCGCATCTACCACAAGCTGCTGGCGGGGACCATCCACGGGAGGAAAGAGAGTTAGGGTAAGATAACTCTCCCTGACCTCTTTATACTTTACTGCATGAGCCATAGGCGGCGCTGCAACCCTGGCTATTTCTTCCTGAGGGCCCTCAAGGACTTCGGGAACAGATCAACAGGGGCCGTCCTCATGGCTCCTCTTATCACTCCCCTGGCAGAAAGATGGGGGTGCCCTGGCCGGGAAGAGCTGGCCTCCAACTTGCGACCCGAATCCATCAACGGGTCAGAACTGGTCAGCATGGGGATGCTGATACGCCGAGGGACCGAGTTGGCCCTTCATCCCTCACTGGATTTCGCACTAGACCTCCAGGGGCTCGTGGCGATGCAAGATATCCCCACACCTCCCGAGTTCCAGCAACAGCAACAACCACCACTGTTCACGGACGACTTCGCCGGCCTAAACCGCAACATGAACGATCTGCGCTGGCAGTTCGACCAGATGACCGGAAGACCATTCAAAGAGGTCCAAGTACATCTACCAACACAGAAATCACTCCCCAGGGAACCGGCGCATGAGCCACCCGAGCAGTAAGCCGCCACTACCACCAGTCCTACGCAGTGGACTGTACCAGCCTGATAGGAGGTTCATACCTATCAACCAGCACACAAGGAGTGCCCGATCGGCGCATGAGTCACCCGAGTAGTAAGCCGCCACTACCACCAGTCCTACGCAGTGGACTGTACCAGCCTGATAGGGGGTTCATACCTATCAACCAGCACACAAGGAGTGCCCGATCGGCGCATGAGCAACCCGAGCAGTAAGCCGCCACTACCACCAGTCCTACGCAGTGGACTGTACCAGCTCGATAGGGGGTTCATACCTATCAACCTGCGCACGCGTTGCGCCTGATCTGCGCTCGAGCCGGATCAGTAAGTCGCACTACCACCCTGATGGGGGGTTCATACCCATCCAGTCCCACACAACGGACTGCAACTACCAGCCTGATGGGGGGTTCATACCCATCCAGTCCCACACAATGGACTGCAACTACCAGCCTGATGGGGGGTTTATACCCATCAACCGAAGGATCGGCTACCGTCAGAAGGAGTATCCTGAGGTTCTACCACATGTTAACCAAAGGGATCGGCTACGTCAGAAGTAGTATCCTAGAGGTGCACAACACAACATTTTCCCCAGAAGATCAACCGCCGCAAGACGGGACATCCGAAGGGTAACCGGGCAAGAGGGTCAACTCCTTTACCTTCTTGTCAATCTGTCTGGCGCAACAGGCCAACAGCTGACTAGTCAGGTAAAGGGGGGCAGTTGTAGACCCCAAATCTTGTCCGACCTCCAAATAAAGAGTAGAAGACCTCCTATTCGAAGATGGACGAAGCCTAACAAGCCACTAGGAGAGACTATTAGGCCTCATACTAGGATAGGAGGGATTTTCAGCACGAAAATAAGGTTTCTCGCCTTTTTGGGGACGAGACCGCCGTCTCAAAATCGAGACCGCCATCTCGCCACCTGCAAATGGCGAGACGACGGTCTCACTTCCCGGGACGGCGGTCTCGCCACCTGCGAAGGGCGAGACGGCGGTCTCGCCACTCTGGCATGGCGAGACGGCGGTCTCGACCTGTCAGGCGCGAAAAAACTGTAAATAGGGGGCTCCCTTCCCTCATTTCCACACAGAGCTTTCTCCTCCTTCTCTCTAGAAAATCACTAGTTTCTCTCTCTAGAATCCCTCCGACGCATTTCCGGAGCTTCTGAGTGTCTTTATAGTGTTTTTCGAGTGTTCCGAGAGGTTTTCCGGCGCTGTAGAGTGAAGGGCTGCCACAAAGCACCTTCTTTTTAAAAGAATTAATACAAAAGTGTGCTTCAGAGGTTCATATTCTCCCTCTCTACTTTTATCGCTTTAATTTTAAATTATGCAATAGATATTAGGGTCATGTAGTCGTAATTTTAAATTCCGCAGAATAAAAGGGTAAAAGCGTATTTTTCTGGTTTAATCATTTACATAAAGCTGGCCTATCATAGGGGACCCGAAAGAGGCGTCGTAAAGGAACTAATACTTCCTTTACACGTAACTAACTCCCTTACCCAACTCTGGTTCTAATGACCAAAGTTGGTTTTTCGAAAACCAACGCCTTTTAATCCCTTTTCCGATGTTTCCGGTAAAAACATCGGTGGCGACTCCATAGAACCCTTTCAAAACTAGCTTTTGGATTAGCCCGGTTATCGGACAATCCAAGAGCGTCTTTTCGAAAACCTCACCCCTAGGTTCAGCCCGGTTATCGGACAACCTAAAGGCGTTGTAACCACCAACAAAAAATGTGAAAATTGGAAAGTCGGAACCATCGCGTCGCTCTGACCGCCTCTCTTTTTGACGGCGGCGACAACGATCATTCTTCGGTTATGGCAAATCTGAAACAGAAAAAACGGTACAGCTGAATGTGACACCAGAAGAACCTCATCATCAGGAACACATCAGTTAATTTTTCTAAAAATATTAACTGAAATATCATTATAGGATGCATATCATAAACATTACATGCATAGATGTTGATGAACAAGGTCATATTTCCTTCGGAAATAAAAGGGGGGGGGGGGGCTAACGGACGACCGTCCACTTAGGCCAGACGGCCATCCGCCAGTGGCCGTTGGGGCCAGATGGCCGTCCATTCAAAGTAGATGGCTGTCCAGGGTTAGCCGTTGGGGGCAGACGACCATCCAACCCAGCCAAACGGTCGTCCAGGAGTGGCCGTGGGGGGAAGATGGTCGTCCATCTACACCAGACGACCGTCCGCCCCTGCATTTTTTTTGCCTATAAATTTAGGCGCCCCAAATGATTCATGACATCCCATTTTTGTATTTCATCTTCCTCCTTTACCTTCCCTTGCATATTTGAGTGTTTTTGGTTAAGTAATGGACCATGGGGAATCGTCAACACGTCGGAAACGCTCCCGGGGACCCATAAGGAGCATCCCCACTCCTCAGATTTCCACTTAGTTGACGGAGCAGCACCAGGCTAGATTCGCTAACATCAGCCAGTATGCCTGGCATCCTATGCTCTAACTAGACTTCAGGATCCTAACTATGTTTGGTTGGGATCAGGATGTAAGGAGATACATCCAAGGCATAGGGTGGGACTTCCTGCTCAGAGATCCCCCTACCCGCATTAACCGCACTGCCACATTGGAATTCCTCGCTTCTGTTACGCTCATAGACCTACCATCTATGATCCCTGGGGTTCCTCCTGTCCAAGCAGTTACATACTAGATGAATGGGGCCTACCGAATTAACATCCTAGTCCTCATGGGATTCCATCAGCCAGTAGAGATCCAAATCGCAAAGTACAGGGGGGCATATTGTGAAAGGTCAACCACCCTCACCACCGGTCAAATATAGGAAGAGATTACCGGTTCCCAGCACATTCCTACCAACCCGAAGGGGACCGCCTTCCTCCCTCCTCTCTGCATTTGTCACAAGTTACTGGCGGGCACCCTTCACAGCCGAAAAGAAAGCCAAGGCAAGGTCACTCAGGCGGACCTTTTTGCCATCTACTGCATACATCGAGGAATCTGATGCAATCCCGACTACTTTTTCTTGAAGGTGTTGAAAGACTTCGGGACCCAAGGCCCGACAAGATCCATCATGATATGCCCCCTTATCACCCCTCTGGCTGAATATTGGGGATGCACTAATGGAGAAGACATCCCTGTCGTCCTCCAACCAGAGCTCATATATGGTACTGTACTCGCCAACATGAGCATGCTCACCCAGCAGGGCACCTCTTGGGTCTTACACCCCCTCCTCACTATGACGATCGACATTCACGATATGGACGCATCGGAGTCACAAGAGATGCCCATCCCTCCAGGATCCCAGTAGCAGTAGACACAGTATGGGGATGACCTCACCAGCATACATCGACATATAGGCGACGAGAGGACCCATACGAATTGATAGTTCCAGTACCTGCACCAATAGATCGACCAGATGTCCCTAAGGCAGGAGGGTTATGAGCGAGCACAGGAAAGTCTTAGCCATAGGGTAGATGGTCTCACACAAAGGGTGGATGAGATAGGCCAAAACCTAAACAACATTATCCAAATCCAGGAGGAATTCCAGCATCGCGTACTCCGCCGACTCCCTTCGCCAACATCATCCTCAGCATCTAGCTCAGATCTAGAAAGCTGAGATCTTTAATAAATTTCCTTTTGTACTCCGGGTCCCTCAAAATAAATAAAAATTTTATGTTTTTATCTAATTGCCTCTCCCTTTTTACAAAAGCCAACATGCATGAAAGAAACTAAGAAATAAAAAGGCACACGCATCATTCCAAAAAAGCCAAAATTTCAAAAATCGCGAGAAAAAAGAATAAAATCGCGGAAAAATGCGAAATTAATCAAGAGCATCCGGAACCAAATAAATTTTGACTGCTATACTTCCACCAAATAAGGAAAAGGCAACAATCAAAACGCAGCAAACATAAAGGCATTATCCCCAAACAGATCAGCCTACTCAGAGGCAAAACAACGCAAACCGAAAGCTTCACTTCTGATGAAGCAATCCGCCTACTTAGAGGCATCATCCTGAAGACAAATACTGGCGCATGAGCTAGAGCAGTAAGCCGCCACCACCTTCATCATCCGAAGGATCAGTCCTGTTACAAAAGGGTATCCAGAAGATACAACCCGCCTTACTATCCTAAGGGTCAGCTTCCGCAACATGGGAGCATCCTAAAGACAAGAGTTCACCACCTAAGGGGTTAGCTACCACATCAAGGGAGCATCCTAAGGGGAAAATCTTCATCAGTCAAAGGTCAACTACCGCACCGAAGGAGCATTCGGAAGCTTCACACATATCGTCCGAAGGGTCAGCCTCCGCAGCAAGGAAGCATCCTGAAGACAACACCAGACTACATTCACAGTCCCGAGGGTCAACTACCACGACAAGAGGGTTAACTCCTTCACCCGCCAATCGACCTTATGGTATACTAGCACATAGTCAATTGGTCGGGTGAAGGAGGGGCAGCTGTAGACCCCAAATCTTGTCCGACTCCCAATAAAGTCAGAGATAACCCGTTTCGAAGATGGTCAAGACTTTGTTAAGTCCCTAGTAACTTTTTATAGGTTCCATTTAAGATAGGAAGGATTTTTAGAAGCAATAAAATTCGGAAAATCTGCCGGAGACAGCTGATGGTCATCCAGGACAGTCAGACGGTCGTCCATACCAAATTTATGGCTATGGACGGCCGTCCACTTAGCTTGGACGGTCGTCCATGGCAACTTTTTTCCATGGACGGCCGTCCACTAAGTCTAGGCGTCTGTCCACTTTTTCCTGGTGCGGTTCCCTATAAATAGGAGCTCCTATTCCTCGAAAATTCACACCTTTTCACTCCTACCACTCTCTAGGAAGCCTTTTGGCACTTTTAAGTGACTCTGAGCATTATTCCGGAGTTCGAGTGGGCTTTCCGATTTCCGTTAAGGAAGTCTCCTATTGAGACGTCCGGCCCTCGGTAGAGTGACTTTTCTTTCTTTTGCAGGAGGAGCGTGCCTGTAGAATGCGGGGACTGCCAAAAAGCGTCCTCAAGTTTCGAAGGGTTAATATAAAACTTGCTTCGGAGGTTCCTTCCTCATTCTCTCTCTCTCTTTTACTGCTTTCTTTATCGCTTTCTTTGTGTGCATTAGATAATAGGGTCATGTAGACATTTAAATTTCGCAAGTAGATAGAATAATAGGGTAAAAGCATAATTTCTTTAAGTATTTATTTTCTAAACTAGTCCATCATAGGGAACCCGAAAGGGGCGTTGTGGGGTGCTAACACCTTTCCACGCGTAACTAACTCCCTTACCCGACTCTGGTTATAATGGTCAAAGTTGGTTTTTTCTAAAATCACTGCCTTCTTCTTTTTTTTCACCTTTTTCAGTGTTTAAGGTTAAAATACTGATGGCGACTCCTCAAACCTTTTCGAAAACCTCACCTTTTGGTCCAGCCCGGTTATCAGACAACCTTAAAGCGTTGTACCACTTCTTTCAAAAAACGCAAGTCAATCAAAATCATTGCATCGCTCCGACCGCCTCTTTTGATGGCGGCGACAGTGAAACAACTAGTACAACATCAAAGCCAAGTTCAAAATGTTGAACACACTAACACCCATGCAATAACAAAATTATCAATTTGTTAAAGTTATGTGTGGGATATGTACATCAAGCAACCATTCTATTCATTAATGTTCAAGTTTCTGAAGCATGTCATCGTAAGATCTAGAAGTGTGTGTTGTTTCTAATTTCCAAAAAATTCCCCCTAATGATAATGTGGATTTGAGCTCAAATAGGTATAATTTATCATAGAGGAACACTCCAAACCTCAAATTGGAAACCAAGCTAATGTATTGCAACCATAACCTATGCAACAACCAAATTTTGATGTGCAACATAAAAGCATAGGTTAGCTTTAGAAAGGAGGGGTTTAAATAGAGCTCTTTTTAATAAAAAAAATTAAAGTGTTATTTTGAAAACAAATATGTAATGAATAAGATATGGAAACAAATAAAGTAACCAGATGAAGATATTGCACATATATTGGTTCACCTTAACCAAGATTTACATCCAATCACCTTTAAAAATACTTAAAGGGTTTCACTATAATCAGTAAGATTACTCTAAGTACATCAAACAACTTTTGGCTATCAACAAGTACACCAAGTCATTCATGACTATAAATCTTAATTTCCTCCTGAGGCTAAAAGCACAAGTATTATTTGTTGTCACTCCTGGTTACCAACGAAAACACCAAGTCACTTCTAGTTATCAACCTTAATCTCTTCCTAAAACTAAGAGCATGAGTATTATTTGTTGTCACTCCTGACTACAAGGATGATTTCAAGTATTGCAATCACGAAAATAACTCTCATAGAAAGGATAGACAATTTGCACTCCTAACTGAGGGTTTATTACACTAAGTGAATGATATAATAATAACTTCTCTTTATATACTAAAATAACTCTCACATAGAGGATAAACAATGAACACTCTTAAATGAGTATTTACTTCACTAGGTGAAGAATATAACAATGACCTCTTCTCTCTTAAATTTTCTATAAGAAAACACTCACTAAGGAAAACAAGAGGCTAATAGAATTGTATTGCAGTTATTGTGTTATGATTTCTTCCGTTAGTGAACTCCTCATTTTATAGGCTTCAAGATGTGCCTGCAGAATCCTTAGCCTTCATTATTTTCTGGAAACATTTATTCAATAATATGATATTCTTAAAATATCTTTAATATTCTTCTTTGCATAAAATTTTCTTTTAGTATATTTGGATATTCCTCAATTGTTTAGTTCAAATACTTTCCTTATAAGTCTTTGTCGCATATTGTATGTTCCCTTTTATATGTAATATGATGGTTGGAGAAAAATATTTCCTTCTACGTATCTTGAGCAAAAAATGATATACTTGGATATTCTTCATCTTCTTTTGGAAAGTTTTAATATTATTTGTTGTGTTGCTGCTTAATCCTATTGCAATATATTTCCATTCTAAGATAATATTTGAATTTTGACAATTGCACATTTATTTTTCTATGTGATTCCCTTTATTTTTCACATTCTAATTTAATCAACATATAATCATATATATTTCATATTTCAAAATTTCACTTGATAATGCATAATTATTCTTCATATAAAACTCAACTAGTCTAATATGGGATTATTAATTTATTTTTTGTTACACACTTAACTCATGAGGTAAATACTCCAAAATTTAATCATATTTTTTATCATCAAAATCATGAATTTGATCTTTGTTTCTAACACAATAGCCTAGCCTAATTCTAATTCACAACGCCTAAATTATCCATCTCAATCTCAACATCCATATATTCCACCACAAAACACACCTACACCGAATTTACCATTCCACCATCCATATAAAAATCAAAATCAACAAAACAATAGACAAATTTGGAACCTTAACATGCGTCCAACAACTAACCATCTTTAGAGGAATTAGTGAGGCAAATGCCTATGAACACATTACAATTTTAACAAAGGACTAAGGCAAGCATCAAGGCATTGGAAAATCACATTGGATAGCTTGTTATAACAATTAATCAAAATCAATCCAAGTATTTGGATTAATTGTCTTCCTAAACTATTATTAACCTCAAATTTGTGAGTGTTATGACTTTGAGAATAGGAAAGGTACTTATCATACTTGTTTTAAATAATTGGAAATGAGATTTGTGCAAAAATTTGCACAAAAGCACCATGCAGCCATATAAAACCAAAAACAGTGGTTGGAAATAGTCCAAATTATATAGAAACCATGTCAATAAAGTGGAGAAAGGTAGCTGAGAATCAGGATTATGCAAGAAAAACAACCACTACAATCTCAAAAACATCTCAAACTAGTATTGATGTTGGACCCCATCCAATATAAAATTCAAGTTTCATTCCTTCAATCTAGAGTTTATTTGCACACAAAAGAATGATAAGGAATTCGATAGTGAATTGATGAAATTTTTTCAAAGAATTAAGGTCAATCTACCTTAGTTAAGGCCATAAAACAAATTCCCAAATATGAAAGATTCTTAAAGATTTGTTTACCAACAAGAGAAGACTTAAGGGGGATGAAAAAATTGACCTAACAAGAAATATATTCGTTTTATTTACCACACCTAATGTATTTATTCTTGAAAAATGTAAAGATCTAGATGAATTTACAATTCATTGTGTCATAAACAATAAGAGGTTGAAAATACTATGTTAGACTTAGGAGTATTAATCAATATGATGTCTTTAGCAGTGTACTCTTCCCTTTGTCTGGATTTTATGCAACAAATAAGTCTGGTAATTCAATTAGCCAATAGAAATTCAGAGCAATTAGTTGGAATTATTGAAGATGTCCTCATAAAAGTGAATAATTTAATCTTAACAATAAATTTCTACATTCTTGACATGAGAGGTAAGTGTTCTAATAATTCTCTTAATTCCTCTCTCTAATTTTGAAAAGACTGTTCTTAAAAATTATATACACGAAAATTAATATTTATGTTAGTACTTTGAGGATGGAGTTTAACAATACCATGACTAAATTTTACATTTTTAATTTGAATAACTTCATGATTTTTAAGAACAGTCAATTAAGAAAACTTCTAATTAACACTATTTGAAACTTCAAATTTTTGCATATGAAAGGATACAAATTACACAATCTAAAACTAAATTTTTTCTTATGCAATTTTGAAAATTCCGGATTAACTATTCTAAAAGTTATATTTTTATAATATTATCGATTGTAAATTAACTTATATTTTTTTTCTAATATAATCTGGATGGATCGAACTGTAATACTCCAGAATAATTTTTTGGATTATTAGTTCCATAAGTAGAAATACCATTCTGGAACCTATTTTGTCAGAGACAATATCGTTTTTTTTGAACAAATATGTGGTTCAGATGAACCTATGTAGGTGGAAGAAGTAAATGCCTAATTACTGTTCAGGCATGACCCAAAACTTATGAATCTAAGGAGTTGGGTTGAAAATAAGAGACCAAACATTGTGTTGAAGAAGGGGAGTTGCATTAGTAGTGGACCAAGGGAACGATCTCCTTCTACGGCTAACATAATCGTTTGAGGAAGTTATAATAACACTGTTTCATAGAAAAAAATGTCATAAAAAGAACCGTGCACGAAGACAAGGAGAAAAAACACAACAATTTGCAATGGTGCAAAGAAACCCTATGACAATTATTCAATTTCAAGCATAGCTTGGTCAATATGCTTTATAGACAATGGAAGCCCAAAGGAAGTTCTTTCAAATGCTACATGGCAATCATCTCAACCTCCACCTTAAAGACAAAGTGAATCTATTAGAGTGAAATATCATTAGGAATTCATATGCTAGAGCTTCTCCCAAATTACATTGAAAAGAGGAGGGCAAAAGTAAAGAGGGGAGATAGATAAGGTAAAATGCAATAATTTGGATAAATTCGGGGTGCTTTTTTCTCATCGAAATACAAAATCACTAGGCGAACTGAAACAATTTATTAACATATCATTACACCTAGTTGCATCTTTGAATTTGAATTTGTGAACGAAAATAACGTATGATTAAGAAAAAAACAGTTAAAAGTGACCAACATAAACGATGGATACTTCAAATCAAAAACGTGATTATGAAACATGACCAACAATTTGTCAGATGATTTAGACATTATAGACATTCTTCTAAACTTTTTGTAATATAATTAGACCACTTTTCTGAATTTACCCTTTATCCACAGTGAATTCCATTTCCTATAAATATCTTACAGAAATCTGTTAAGTGGTAATAACTGTTTTCAAATAACCCATCTAGAACAGTATCAATTCCAGCTATTAAATGCCAACAGTTCACGACGAAAATTACATAAGTGCCAGTGTTTTAGTTTTCAGAGGAAAATGAAACTCCATAACCTTGACACGTGTATAACTATTGATAAGATTGTCTTCCTAATCCACTGGTAAAACTGAGTGGCTGAGAGCCCGTGATGTGACACCAATGTGATAAGAATGGAGCTTCATATTAAGAAACAAGCATAACAGTGATTCTAAAGTAAACAAGACAAAAATCAAAAGACGATAATTTAGCCATGCGCATTGCTATCCCACTTTCTTGATCAGATTTACAGAAACAAGAGCCATAAATAAACGTATTACAAATTGCTATAAATATAATATAACAGGGTGGACTATTCATAGAGCTATGGCGTGTAACAAGATTCAATTGAATATTAGAAGTGGAGCGTGGTGAACATGAAGCCACCTTATATTTGAGCTATTGTGCAGAATTAAACAGAGGGAAAGTACTTGTTTAGATTGAAAGGAAGTGAATAGAACTCCTCACTTCTTGTGTCACCCTTGAAGGACTTGTACTTGTCCCACCAATGTTTCCCTCTGTCCTTCCTAATGGCAGCTTCTCTCTTAAATAAAGTGTTGTCTAGAAAATATGCCACAACACCCGCAACAAATGGTTTTGATTGGAATGGCACGTTGATTATATCATTGAACTGTCATGTGCATCAAATCAAATTGTGATTGTAAGTAAACTCAACAAAAAATAATAACAAACCCTTCAAACATGGCTCTCTCTTAAATAGTTATAAAAAAAAAATATTATTAAACAATCACTTCTGTCTTAGAAATCATGTTATGTAGTCCCCCAATATTGAAAAACTCCTCAAATACTCTCTAAATGTCAGTAACATATATTAATTTTGTTCCCGTTTCAATGAGTTTTCCCATAACTTTTCAATTTTCTTTCTTTTGTAGAAGTGCTTATAAAAAGTTGTCTTTTATTGCAAAATTAAGGGACTGTTGATACTTGAGTGACTAAATTTGTTTATTCTATAAATCTTATCCATACCCATCTTGCGCCTGTGTGGACTGGACCAAAACCATTAATGGCTGTGTACTCATTGAAGTACTGTGGCACAGACAAGCCCATGAAGATTGAGAACCCTAAAATGAACTTTGTTCTAAAACTGTTGAGGTTGCAGAACTGAAGAAAACTAAGACCACCAGCGCCTACAAATGATGAGCAAAAGTGAAACACAACATTATGTGATGTTTCATGTAGGGTCATAATAAATGAAAGTATGAATAAATGTACGAGAATGTTTTGAAGGATCAAACATACCAACATAAGCAAAGAACAAGCAGTAGAGAGCAGCAATAATGGGAGGTGGGATGGAGGCAAAAACTGCTCCAAATTTTCCTACACAGTAGAAGAAAATGAGCCAGTGTTGTTAAAAGGGAAGAAAATGTACTAGGAAGGTTAAGTATTTGAATCACAAAAACCATGTTTCATCAACTCACCAAGAATTGAAAAGAAAATCATAAATCCAGCAGATATTTGCACTACTCTTCTACTTCCTACTCGTGTCAGAGCCAAAAGACCTGCATTTTCTCTGTAGGGAAACCAACAAAAACTCATCACCAACAAGAAAGTTATGTTTCCTAATAAGGTAAAAATATATAAAAAAACAGAATTTCAATCTTACACGGACACAGAGGATCCATTGACTGTTCCAAACAATCCTGATAACAGAATGCCAACTCCCTGACCGCATAAATGAGATACATGAGGAATTATAATCCAGTGTTCTACTTAATTACTTGGTAAAAAAATCATTATAATCACCAATGATCTTTTACCCTACTATTTATAAGTGTGCAATTTTTTCCACAAATACTTAAATGCTCAATTACAAGTCAATTTTGTACCTGCCAACCAATACCCCTGCTGAGAATTGATGGTGGTAATGGTGTTGCACTTGCATACCTATATACAGCAATGAAAGCCCCACTGGACTGTTTGTGACAAATGATGAGACGTATTAGCAAATAATTTAATCCAAGTATGCAGCTTAGTAACTGCATAACACTGATACTGAGCCAATGCCTAAGTATACAAGCCAGATAATCCAAGAATGTCATCATGCAAGTAGCGCCAGACTAATATGTTCTGGTTGAATTTTAGTATAATCAATGGCTATATATCACTTGAAAATGTAATTCGAAGAAAGCTTCCCCCTCCCCTGCCAACTACAGATTGTAACACTAAATCAGTTTCACTTCGCTCAATTTATCAAGAACACTCACTATATGGATTAAACATCATTCAGCTGTTCCCTTTGCCCTTCAGGAAAACAAAATCAACCATTTTCTGACAAACTGCAAATTACTAAAACTTTTTTCATGATAAAAATATATTTCATTACCATAAGCATTTAAAATTCACCAACGATATTACTAAATTATATTAGTTATCAGCATTTTTCAAGGAAAATTTATTACAGATCGAGTGGCACAGGGGGATGTAAGATGTAAGAATGATATGTTGTCCTGTATAGGATGCAATTCGCATAAGACCCAAAGAAATTGATGAATATAGAATATAACTCAATAGCTGTTGTGCAAGAAAGAAAATCAATTAATAAACAAAAAGGAATTCTTAGCAGAGAAAGATCTAATGAAAGAAATTACCTCTACAAGTGCAACAAAAGATGCCATCATCATGGCAAACGCTTCACCTGCATCAAATGAAGGTGCTCCCCATTGAAAGGGATATGGAATTCTTATCCTGCAAACTCAAATCCATGACAAATTCTTCTCAATGACTTTCAACTCACAAGGATAAGCCTAGCAGATTCCTACCAATTACCAATTAAAAAATACAATGTCTCAAGGATCCAGTTGAATCTGACTTGAGAAATATCAATATACTTATGCTATAATATCCGATATAGTCATAAATATTAAAAAAGAATTAAGTAAGAATGATATGCAACATATATCCAGTTCAGTGTATCATCTAAAAGGCATCTCCTCACATAATCAAAATAATAAACTGAAATCAAAATAGCAAAATATATCTGAAATAGGAGAAACATATTAAATATTGACTATAATTTAGCTCATTTTATAATGAACACGCAAAATATAATTTTATCAAGCTTTAAATCAGTAAAGTTTTTAATTGGAACCCTATCACTATCAGTCGCCAATAATTTAATGTTGAGTTCATTTTACCAAAGTGGATTAGAAGGTTGCCACAAAATCCATCCCTGACACACCTGCGACAGTCCATGCAACATACTGACATGACTGTGTTTCTTAAACAAGAAATGGATTTAAGTTGGCCACCCTCTAGTTCTCAAATGCAACATTGGTTATCACATTGGTTATACCAACTGCAACCTGAGAAAATGCCTGACAGTTGACAATCATGATATGAAACCAATTAGAAGTTTTTCTATTATAGGATTAATTTAAAAGCATGGTAAAATTAAAATGGTCATCACAATTTCCACAGAAAGAAAAAATGCCACTAACAGTTAAAATTCAATGAAATCACACAACTAACCAAGGAGCAGCATCTATAAGCCCAGCACGATCAGTGCGGCATGATGTCTGAGTTTTAGGTGGAGCATCATTGTAGGCCCCTCCAACGGTAAGTAGATGAGCATATATCCAAACAATTACAACCGTAAATATCACTGCAAAACGGTCGAAAATATTTTTCCCCGAATGTAGCACATGGGGCACATACTGCATGTGACAACCAATAATCGGTTACAAACTCAAGTTTATCGAAACCATCATGCAAGAAACTAGAAGAGTAAAGAAACCAAGACAACAATAGGAATTAAGATCCTACTTCAGAGATTTATAAATTTAGTAGATATTGCGTGCATCCAACTGTCTCTACCTGTGAAACAAATATGAGTAATACAAGCTGAGGCAGTCCAATCTCTATACATTTAGCAACCTACATCCATGATAGGAGTCAATATTTGAAACTTGGTCACAAAAATGTTATCCATAGAGCATTGTAAATTTGTAGCAGAAGACTTACCCCAGGGAACCCTAACTCATACAGCCCAAAACCAACAAGAGATACCAGAGGAACTGATGAAAGTGGACTTAAGAACCTGAAGAAACAATTGAACTAACATAAGATGGGAATATTATAGCCAGTCACAAGATATCACCCAGTTCTTTCAATTCTTTATGGATTTTGTGCTAATTAATCCAAATCCAATTATATAAACCACATGAGCTTAATATCCACTTCAAAGATCAATTTAACTTGGTGGAAAAATGGCAAATGTGCATACATTCTTAAATATGGCTTACACTTTAGTTTAGACATCGTCAAGACAAGTAAAGACAGAAAAACCATGATGCATAGACTAAGAACTTTGGCCAACCTCGCAACATTACGCCAGAGACCACTGAAGCCCAGTACTATTTGAAGAGTTGAAGCAACAATAAGAGCACCCTGGATTGACCTCATTATCCTCTTGAATTTCTGAGTAGATAAAAAAACAGGGTAAATGGTTAATAAAAAAAATCAAATAAGCACAAAATCTAATGTTTAATGGTAGTTCTTAAATCAAATTCATACTCTTCTATTTTCTACGTAATTAAGTACATAAAAAATGGATATACAATATATGGTAGTCTCCATTTAGGTTAAATCTCATTGACTGCAATGTAAAATAAGGAAGCATATGAACTTTGCATAACTTAGTACATAGTTAGATTTGTTCTGATCACAACACCTCTATAGGATCTGGTTCACCACTGAATCGGCCAGCAAGAATAATTGAGATTGTGGTTGGAACAAAGGTGTAAGACCCTCCTATCACCGCAGGCAGTCGAGTTCCAAACATTGTTTGCAACAATGTGTTAATACCAGCTACAAAAAGTAGTGTTTCAATAACTCTTGCCTTCTCATCCTGAAAAAATTGAAATGTTAATTTTTTCATAATTTACTAGGAGGAGAAAGAATTTCAATCACATGGTAAGATATTCATTACATTCCTTATCAAGCAAATTCAAAACTGCTTTAAATATATTTAACCTGTAGCTGCTTACATTACCACCTCCCATCTGAGGAACAAGAGCAGTGGGAATCAGCACAGTTGTGCCAAGCATCACGAGAAAATGTTGAAAACCAAGAAGTATGGCCTCAGCTGCATCAGAATGACCCCAAATTTTTCGTCAAAAATAAAGAAGAAAAACAAAAGTAAAGTAAAGCTCAACTAAAGGGGAGTCAGGAAGATTCTTAAAATTTTATACATAAGCTACAAATAATCAAAGAATATGTCATTAAAGTTGACCAAATATTCCAGATACTTAATATCCATCAACAACATTGTTCAATACTGGCTGTATAGAATGCCCCCAAATCCAGTAACATGAATAAAATAGTCTTTTTAAAAGTTATTAAAATAGTTAAAAAGTATTAAACCAGTGGGCAAATTCGGAAGTAGCAATCAAATTGTTTCCAAAGCACCAAATCTGGATCTGGAAATAACAGAAAAAGCCCGTTGGTTACATAGTACATACATATAATTAAAAGGATTTCAACTAAGATGGAAACGGCACTTCAAATTGTTTCCATTAATATTAAGAGTAAAAACAAGCCTGGATTGCCACTGGCATAAAAAAAGTACAAAACCAGACTCAAACTCCCACAGCAGAAAAGGCAGTTCTTTTTCCTTTGTTTTCTCAACCACCTTAAGATTCACTAGTTTTCTCTCAAAACAAAATCCCCAACCTGGGAACTGAAAAAAAAAAAAAGCATTTTTTTTTTATTTTCAATAGCATAATTATTATTTTTATCCACTTTTGAATCTAAACAAGGTGAACCACTCACGCCATGGAGGAGGACTAGTAATGCAGTAAGAAATATTGGGAAGCTGATCCTTTGGAGGGTGAGGCTGTGGCTCATCTGGTTTAGCTCCTGCTCCCGACATAACCTTTTTTCCTTCTCTTCCTAACTCTGAAGAATAAACAAACAACAACAATTAACAAATTAATAAATCTACAACAAGTCCATATCTAACACCAGCCCAGATCCCTCAATGCCACAAAGAAAAAGACCCAGAAGAGGAAAAAAAGAAACAAAAAGAAAAAAGGGACCTTTCTTACAATGACTAAGCCTAGAAAATGAAAAATGCAACAACTAGAGTTGAGCTAAGTTGGGGGCTCTCTTTTGTTAAGAAATGAAAGTAATGGCCACAATAATTGCACAATTTAAGAAGAAAGTTAGAGTAGAGAGTAAAAAGAAAGCACCTTTTTAGAGTGAAGGAGTAGTATTATGAAGTCAAAAACAAAATGAGGTGCCCCACGAGAAAAGAAAAGAGAAAAAGGGATGAAAAGAGAAGGGAAAGGGAATGCAGACGATCTTTGTTGTGGAGTGTGGAGTAAAGCAGACTCCAATGCTGGGAGAGAAACGATAAAGGTGTACACAGAAATTAGCAGAAAAAAAATGAATGAAGATTCTCTTTCTTCTCTAGCTAGTTGCTACTACCAAAAAGTAATGTTTCTCTGTCTTTCTCTCACTCACTAGTAGGCTTGTGTTAAGTTATAGTGTAGCTATCTCACACACCCTAAGTTACTACTTTCCAACAAATATTGCCCACATTTATTGTTTTGTTTCGTGTTGTGAAATTGCAATGGAAGAATGTTTAGGTAGCATTCTCGTGTCATGCACACATAGCAGCTGAAGTATGCACATATACTTTATTACATAAAAACACTAAAAATCTTGTGCTTATGAATTATATATATATATATATATATATATATATATATATATATATGAATAATATGTTAGGTTCATCACAGAACTATAATGAGTATCAAGTGAAGTTATTCAATATATAAGTACCATCTCAAGGTAGGTGACATGAGATTTTTCATCACTGTCTATCAGAATTACATGTCAAAACAAATTAGTTTATGAAACTAGGTAATTTACAACATATAAAGGGTAAACCTTCATATCATATTAGAAAATAACAGGGTAAAATTGTACAAAACTGAAAGTCCAACAATCAAAAATAATTTGAAAGAAAAGATAGATAGATTTGTATAGTTTTTTCTTTATCTTCTCTGACATATTATACATAAGAAGAATAGGAAGGATAGTTACTCAGCGACCTTTACTTTTCAAGTTGGATACATATATAAATAATAATTTGCACATAAAATATATAATATAAATAGTAACATTTATATGTCTTCAACTTTCTCAGTGGCCTTTTCTTTTCAATTTGGATACATAAACTCTTTGTGGAACCCATTAAAACAATTTTTTTTTTCTTTATATAGATCAGAGTATTGTAAAATAGGGGAAGTATTAAAGTTCAGATGTTTTGTATCGGTCGGCAATCCTTTTCTCCTCTCTTCTGAACCAACCCTGAGGTTAGTGAATTGTCATCAAATCGTCATTATTTGTTTTCTTATTTAAACTAAAAAAATCAATAAAACTGTATTGTGTGAAATGAAATTAAACTGATTTATTATTTTGTAATTTTCTTATTATTTCATATACTTCTTACGTTAAAAAAAAAGTTTGTTTTACTTTATCCGAATGAAATTATTATAATTGAATTGAATTCATTTTATATCATTATACGTTATTTTATTTTATTTGTTAGTAAATGTCCAAACATAATTTTATTTGTTAGTAATAGTCATTTAAATCGGTTCACTGCGATTTAATGAAAAACATTTTTTTAAATTTAATAAAATAAAGTATTAATCATTTTCATTTCAAGAAATTTATTAATTTCAAATAATATTATTATGTATGGTTGAACTTTAAATATTTTTTTAATGTGTATTTTGAATGTTAAAATTTAGATATTGATATGGTAAATTCATAATTCTTGTATGGTTTAAAATCGAGTTCAAAATCATTTATATACATTTTTCTTTAAATTTTAAACCCTAAATCATAACATGATGGATTAAAGTTTCAAAACAAACAATATGTCGTATATAAGAATTAATCTTAATAATGTATTCTAACGGACATAAAATAATACAACAGGCATAAAATTGGGACATTCTTATTTTTAGACAGAAAATATTAACATGCATGGGAGACTAAGAGTCGAGTCTCACTTTATTTTTATACCCCTTAGTCTTTTACTAATTTATATACATTCTTCTTTCTTAATTTACTAAAAAAAATTTTAAAGATAAAACTGTGACTAACAATAATTTCAAAACATACAAAATTTCGGACATAAAAATTAATTTTAATAATATTATTGTAATAAGCACGATACCACAACACTCTTATTTTTAAACAAATATTTGTTTAAAAAAAATTATTTTTAGTTTTTTTAAACAAATATTTTTAGTTTTAAATATTATTAAATTATGATATTATATTTCTAGAATATTATCTTATATATAATTTAATTATTGTTATTTTATTAAATTTTCTCCAACCAGTTATCTGACCAATAAACTTTATAGATGTATTATTCGTTGAATTACTCTTGAGATTTTTAAAATATAAAATATTTTGTTATTTTATTTAGCCTTATCTAATTGGGGTTTATTTTAAATGAATATTCGTTAATAGTTATACAAAAGGTCAGGCATGTTACAATAGATATCATAATAGAAATAAGAAAATTATTTATTTGAATACTTAAATGAAATATTAATGATTTAAAATAATCTTTTATTTGAATAATCATTTAAAATAATTTTTTATTTAAGGAATTATTTAAAATAATCTTTCATATTTGAGAAAATTTAGGTTATATATAGTAAACTTGAAAATTTTGATAGTTATTTTTTAAAATAATTTTTAAAAATAATTAAAATAAATAACTGAAGAGAGATAGTAAGAGAGAAAAAAATTTAAAAATTAAAAATAATTATGTTAAAGTAAAATAAACTATAAATTATTTAATATAATATAATAAATTTATGTTTACATTTATATATTTTTTTTAAAGCGACAAAAGATGTCTAAAATCATGGAAATTATTTATTGAAATATTTGAATAAATTATAATTATTTGAAGTAATTTTTTATTGAAGGAATTCTATTAATATGATAAGATGTTTAATTTTTTATAATTATTTCATAAAGTAATTTAAAAAAAATAAATAAAACAAATTAAACGAGAAAATAAAATAAAAGAGAAACTAAATTTTTTAAAAATTTATTAAAAAAATATAATGAAATAAAATCAACCAGTGTTAGTTAAAAATAATATATTATTATAAATCTGTATTTAATTTTTTTAAGATAAAAGAACATCTTAAAAATTTTATTTGATAATGCAATACATTAACTAGTTAAGTGTCAGTGATAAATTTTTTTTCTCACTCCTAATTGGTTCTTCTTCTCTTCTCTTATTGAGCTGACATGTACCAAAATGCCTAGTTTGCATATTTATTAACATTTTCTCCTATTTAAATATTGTGTTCATGGATGGAGTGATGAAATTGGAAGGTTGTTGTTGAAATTTTGACTGTTTTTCATAAAAATTTTATAATTAGTTGTTTGTATCTAAGGATGCGTTGATTGAATATGGGTGCTTCTATTAAATTTAATTTTCACTTCTAGAATTTTGGATAAAAATATTATTTACTGTATTTATTTGGTTTATTAGTATAAATAAGGAATTGAGTATATTCCTAGTAAAGTTATACAAAATCAAAATGATTAGAATATTGTTAGAAAGGGATTGGTGACATGGGTGTAAAGATGTGAAGAAATTGAAAGGGTACTTATATTCTTTTGGCAGGAACATTATGAGGAATATCGGAACAACCAATTGCCTAAACTCGATTTCAGAGTTTGTGAAAGATGAAACAGAAATAATGATTGAAGCAATGTCTATTACTATCTTGGATGAAAGAAACATTTTAATGGATCCGAGGAAAATTTTAAAAAATAAAATACAAATTCTTTATAAACGTATGAACCAACTATCTCACTCTTACTGTAATATAATTTTATTATTATATTGTTTATTATAATTTTATTCGTAAAAAATGTTTGAATTAGTTTTAGAGAAAAATATATAAACTAATTTTGCTCACTACTCTTAAAATCATTAGCAAAACATCATCTAGAACAAAAATTTTATTTCGTAAAGTATATTTTTCAGTCATAAATTAATTGTTAACATCAGACTACAAAATATTTAATAATTGATTTGAAATTATTGATTACTACGAAATGTGATATAATCAATGATAATTAAATATTTTTTAAACTGAAAAAAGAAAAAGTGAAACTATTTAAATTTTCATATATTTTTAAAAGAGTAAGAGTAGACAACCGACAAATGCTCTTCCATCTTATCCCTAGAATGGCTGGATGAATGGTGTTTGTTGCTTGTCCATTATTGTTACTGACTTCCAACTGGCGTTGCCTTTTCATTCCTCACTTCCTTCTAAACGCTCTCTTATTGGAATCACCTTGTCCTACTTTCATACTAATCAAATTCTTAAATTCACAATAAATTTTATAAATTTGGTGTAAATTATTTGTTAAGTGGAAGTGATGAAGTAGAAAGTCATGGAAATATGTTTTCCTTTTATTATGTAACCTTCACAATATATCATAGTTCTAGTGTGAGATAGACTACGTTAATATAGTGTAAATTCGAGGTAACTTATTTAATCAGAACTTTTTTACAGTAAAATAAATTAGAACATTCATAATTTATTAATATGTGATTAGTTAATATCAAATTTATTTAACAATAATAACATTATCAGTCTAAGAATTCAAGGCATGGTAATAAATGTTGTGCTATATTTTTTTTACTTAATTAATTATATTAATCTAATCCTGTATTGACAGTTTTTTTCATGAAAATATCTTAAATAAAAAGTATTTAATTTGAGAAAATATTTGTTATTTTAAAATTTACATAAAATACCAAAAATAAAAAAATAATCATAAAATATTTTAATTTTTCATGTAAAA